TCTTCGACCTGGATCCGATGATAATAAACTTTATTCTGAGATGAAAAACCAATTTAGCAATTCAGATATTCTTACACTGGGTCATCAAGGCAGTTAAAAACAATTACAACAACATATGTTGTGTTTATACACCAATTTCAAAATAATGGCGATTGCTCAAGGGAGAATGCACGACTGAAACAGACTATATAACATTGTTACGTAAACAAATTAATTATCATTGAATAGAAATGGAGACAAAAAGAAACCAGTGTTTACCACAGACTATCTTATAGTATAAATCAGTTGTTCTTTCCCATTAATTAACAAAACCAATGGCTACCTTTGCTCTTACAATCCACCGTTTGACAATTATTGGCAATTTATCCGACAACCATTTTTGAAATAGGTATATAATACTCACCTCCAATTGCAACATCGAACACACAACTTACGCTGTTCCCTTCCTTGTCAACGGCCTTAAAATACTGAGACGAGTGTCCACCAGTAGTGTTATAGGTCTTTTTGACATAAGTTTTATAAACTTTAACAACGCCAACATTGTCAGAGAACTCTGGTTCTTTGTAGGTAATATGATATGGACCTTTAGTATACACTGGGTGGTATACTGTTGGAGCAGGGCAGGAAACTATCTTTGGTGGCTCTTTGTCTGTTAAGAGCAAAATCACTGTTAGCAGGGGTGGATGACTTAATATCACAGGTAATTTGCATTTTGCTAAGAGCGCGCGCCGATTACATAAAAGCGTGGAAGCGTGTGCATTCGTTTTTTTCTTTCTCTCAAGCAATATTTGGGCGGCCTATGTGTCATACGAAATCCACTCTTTTGTATTGAATTTCCACCTATCAGCAGCGTATCCTATTTAGATCATTTTGTATTAAACGTCTCCGAGTGCACATTTTTTTTTGGATGTATGCCGATCGTGACTGTATACTCACCATGAACTCGCACATTATACCAACATTTCTTGGTTTTGCCATCAGGATTAGTGACGGCCCACTCGACTCTCGTTTCACCGGCGGGAAACTGGTACTGACCACCAGCTCCAACAGGAGAAACAACGGTGAAGTTTTTATAATTCGATCGGGGAAGCTCCCACTTGGAGCCCACTGAAGTTGTGTTTTTGCCAGGTGGAAGATCAGCAAAGATAGTAAAAGGACAATTAATCCAAGGATCTGAAATTGAGAAATCGTAATTCGTAATCTTTATGTTTACATATACATAATAAAACAGTTAAATAGCAAAAACATTCTCTCCAAAACACTAACTTCAATGAAATATTTATCATAAGTTTATCTCAAGTGAAGATATCCAAAGTATTTTTTTCCCAAAAATACCGATATTTCTTCTGTGGTAAACAAACTTCTTCAGGTTGAATGCAAAAAATACAAAAATTCTTAATGATATATTAGAAAGGCATATAGAGCTGTTTCCTAAAAAATTGAATACTAGGCACTTTGCAATGAATAATGCAATCCAAGACCGCAATACATCGTTGCTCTAAAATTCCAAATTAGAGTCAAATTCCAAACTAGTTGCTTTCCTCTATTGTATTGAATTGTACCGAAATGCAAGTGTGGTATAACAACTTTAAAACGTACTACGGAAACTSCATTTGAATGACRATAGAATGAAYAATAATGCATGCATTTCGGTCTTGGAAAACACTATTTAAACGTTTTCTGAAATAGCTTTATACAYTAGTATAGTTGTCTGTAAAGTACTGAGCAGATTCTATAAATTTTAATGTATTATATATTACACACCGTTCCCAAGTTTCTTAGTGTCAAGGGTTCTACAATAATTAGCTTTTTAAAATTTTTGATATATAACGAGCGCTCTGATTGGCTGACGACCGAGTTTATATCAGAGGACAGAGACACGGCTTACCGGCAAAATTTTCTTTTCGCTCGAAAAAATGTATAAAAGAAATATAAAACGGCCGCTTGTGTCTCTGTCCTCTGATATAAACACGGTGGGAGTTGAAAAACACTCGAGACGCAAGAGAAACAAGCTTGCTTCTCTCGTGTTTTTCGAACTCCCAAAAATCATGAAGGCGATTTCGGAGCTGAATGTCTTATGCTTGGATAGGTTATTATCACTCTACCTGGCCAAATTCTCTTGCATGATATTGGTGATCCATTCCACGTGCCATCCTTCTGACATACACGTGCATCGTCTCCTTGGACTTTCCTGTATCCATTATTACAGTATTGTCTACATGTTCTTCCTTTGTATCGTTCACCGGTAGTTCCACAGTCGGAAGGAATGTAATAGCTATTTTGAACTTTAGGAAGAGCTGGGCATCTCCTGCCTAAACCAAATGAAAAAAGCATACTGTGATCTCGCTGTTTACGTTTCGTAATGTCCGCCATGTTGGATGCACATAACAAAGCATTACTCATTTCTTTCTTATGCTCATTAATACTCCATGTTGCAGTTCCTGTCGCCATTTTGAAACGGAGCCGAGCGTTGACATTAATGAATTTAATTGTCTTAGGTGCAGACAAAAGGCATCTATCACTGCAGGTTCAACTCATGTTTCGCTTTGATGCAGACTGGGCTGCTTTTCAACGTGGCGCTTGGAACTGTATTATGGTGTTCACATGATTTGTTTTTTGGGTGCGCGCACAACAGCCCTTCGCTACTAGACCGAAAAGGATTATAGATACAGATTTTTCAGCGAATAATCATTATCAAAAATAGATAATAGATTAAAGACAAGGACCTGTAGGATAAACTCATTAAAACTGCCGTTTGAAATTTTTTCTTTCGAGTGAATCCCAGTAGGCAGTCTAAATATGAAAAGTATTTTTACTTATGAATTAATTACTACATTCTTTATTGGAAAACTTTCCATTTACCATTTACTTACCTTCGCAATACACATTTGAAAACCAACCCTTCCAACGTCCATCTTCACATTGAATCGTGCGAAATTGAGAAGGATTATGCAGCTCATAACCATAGACACATCCTCTGGTGCAGACATCGCCTTCTTTGTTAGCGTTTTCCTTTAAACAGCGTGCTGGTGAGTAAGTTGTTATGTTGTCTGTCTTTTGAGCGCCGCAAAAGTTAACTAGAATAATAATTACAAATATCTTTAATAATTTATTCATAATATAAACTGGAGATGAGCATAAAGAAGGGAATATAGTCTTCTTCACGGTTCCATTAAGTAACAATGCGCGTAATGCAACTCTCTATTGTTCTGCGCCAATTGTAACTTCCCCACATACGAATGTCTTGGTTTTCACACTGATTATACAACCTATGGGTAACAAATTTGAAAAATAAAATTTCGACAAACTCTTTTTTTTATTAAGAGATTTTGTCGAATCATAAGCACTTAAAACAATTATCAAAGAATGCTTCTAATTTGCCATGTTCCCCACATAGAATTTCTATTAATAATGAAGCTAAGGAAATTTTACAATTAAGAAGGCTGAACATTTTGATTAGTTTGTACCGAACGTTTTCGAACTTAACAGTTCATCATCAGGGATTAAACAAAATTTTACATAATGTGTACTGAGTTTTAAGCAGTTTTACGTAATCCCTTGGGGGAAAAGTGTTAAATGGTATGTCTCCGTTTGCCTATTCAGCGTAGGCTGGTAGAGGCTGATTAGCAACGCTTCAAGGGTCTTACGTTTAGGTGAAAAAATGGCTCTACCGATGATGGACCAAGTGAAAGAGTGGTGTTCGTTCCTCTTTAGGTGCTTTGCGGGTTCTGATGGATTTTCACTCAAAACATTCTCATGTTCCTGTCTGCGAGTTTCAAAGTTCCTGGCAGTTTCACCGATGTACGATTGATCACAAGAGTTGCACTCTCCTCTATATATTACGTTTGCAGGATGATTATTCTTGTCTTTAGTTGTAAACAAAGACTGGATTTTTCTTGTTTGCCATAAGATGACGAACGTGAACGCGTCGTTGGTATATTGGACTAATTTCTTGATTAAGATCTTGCTTTCTTTTTCGTTTTGTTTGCAAAGGGTAGACGAATGAAAATTTTCCTCTTAGGTTCTTCAAACCAGTGTGTTGGTATTATGGTGGACTCATCGAGATCGGTTCGTGGTGTTTCGAAGTTTTTGATGGTGGATTCAACAAATTTACGAGGATAGCCAGCTTTGAGGAATTTATTCTTAATAAGCTCAACTTCGTTTTCCCAATTAGTAGTAATACGTTTCGCAGCTCTATGTAACGCATTAACAATGGTGTTGCGTTTCCATTTTAAAGGTAATTGGGACGACCAGTGTACGGGTAGTTTGCGTGGCTTTTGGTAGACTGTTCTCTCGAAACCAGAACTGTTGTAGGTGAATTCAGTGTCAAGAAAGTGGTTAGGATTCTCTTCAACCGTGAACTCGATGTTTTTTCGTACACTGGTCGTCCCAATTACCAATTGTCCAGCCTTCTTAATTGTAAAATTTAAAAACCATAGGCGATTATCAATAAGCTAAGGAAAGCTTTCATGAAGTCTGGGGGAATCAGATATTAAATAAAATATTAAAACATGCGCTAACTTGTGAAATTAATGACAGATTTTAATKTTTTAATCAATGAGATGCATGGATTATACAATCCACTATTATCACCTTTTTGCCTTCCATTGCCGTTCGAAGACTGGGCAATCGTTATATAGGTTATATTTCTTTAGCAATAACAAAAAAGTACCAATACAAGAAACGTGAAGTACTCACTTTCGCAACGATAATTGGCGACCCATTTATAGCCTGGTTTGCATTTACAGAAGAAGCTTCCTTTGTAGTTGACGCATTGGGTGGACACTCTGTCACAACTGTCCGTTCCATCYTTACACTCATCAATATCTAGGAAACAGTTAACAATCCAATGACTGAATTATTTATAGCAATGGAGCCTAAGGTCCTTCTACATTGTGTAATTCCTGTTAATATATGGGCCTGCAGGGAAATGGAAAAAGAAGACCAGGAAATGAAATCATTAGCGACTGGTGGTGGTACCTCGGCATCTTCCTCAAAAATTACCTTTTTACAGTCCTTATACTTTTCAAAAAGAACAACAAGGGTAAATCCGAGGCAGTTAAGGGGGAACCATCGCTATACTATTGTCCAATCATATCAAAGAAGGTCTATAATATTTGGAACAGTCAAAAAAGATATTTTGGTCTTACCGACACATTTTCCTTCGTCAAGTTTGTAACCGCTCCTGCATTCACATCGGTAAGAGCCTGGGGTGTTGACACAGTTGTAGTCACATATTTTGCCATAAAGACATTCGTTGATATCTGTGTAGAAATAACAGTTATTATTTATTTACACTTTACAATTAGACCACGAGATCCAAAGAAATGTATCGAGTCTGGGYAATGTATCGAAATCATGACTCTCTCCAGTCTCCCCACTGTTTSAAATCGRTCATCAATAGTACGAGTTTTGCGATCTCTCTTACCTTACATTGTATTATTCTCAATTGTGTKTAAAATATGCCGAAATTTATTAWAAAATTCGTGAAATSATTCAAACTATTTTCACTAGTGAAAATAACACATTCGAGATKTCTCTATATAGTGGAAGTAAGAAAAAAGGTATTTTGCGACATAATTTACTTTCATATGTAATTATCTGWTAAACRGAATATTACRTGGTCKCTACGCTCACTCTTGAGAGATCTCTTCAAAACTCGAAGATAAATCCGTATCTCCGCGCGCCCTAATTATTACATGTTTTTGAGGTTAACGCAGTGTAAAAGAGAGTCACTAAAAAGGTTTATTATGACGTCTTAACTTACCATAGCAATAGCCATAGGACTCTCTGTAACCACGTGGGCATGTGCATTGATATGAACCAATAGTATTTTGACACGTAGCTAATGAATCTTTGCAAGGTTTTGTGGTTTTACATTCGTCGATATCTGAGAAAAAACAATGATGTTGGGGAGTAGTCAGTCATTCGCATATAATCAATTCAGTTGTTGTCTAGACTAATGACGTTACTTTTGTTTTKGAGCGAAGTGCATCATGGTATTGATGAAAGTATCAAGATGGCGGATGTCTTGTAAAAACTACAGAGAGCGAATTTTCTTTTCGAAATGTACACAGTTTAGAAGACACATGTCAAGAAATGTTCTATGCAACTGCTGTACGTTTTCACTTGAGGCATTTATTTACCAATATAATGAATTTTGATTACCATATTTGGAAATTRTAATAAATATATATGTCACTCACCTATACATTGGCCATTCGATCCTTTAGTATAGCCTTTTGTACACTTAACTAAAAAGAAGATAAACATGCAACATTGTGAAAGATGGGACAGTTTCAGCGAAAATTCTTTCAYCAAGATCTCGAAGTTTAAGTTAAGGATTTGCTGGGGACAAGTTTCACATTACGACTTCAACATGGACAAAGTGTGTAATTCATTGTTATCGCTTTGAAAATTCTTTATCGACGTAAAAAAGGCTGTTAAGATGCTCTTATTGTTTCAAATACGAATAAAGACAGCTCTGGAATTCATGTTATCCTAGATTACAATCACAGTTCTCGTGAAAAACACCAAACAGTAAACACGAACATGAATCACACTTCAAAACAAAATGGCGGTCGGCCAAACAACAAATACCTCGCATACCATCAAATCGCTTCGAACGTCTCTACAAAAGCTTAAAATCAATATAATCATGTGTTGTATTCACAAAAACAACATTTTTTCTTGGTGGAATTCATTCTGTATATGGAAAACATTACTTAGAAACTTATAATTTATTCTAAACCCGAGTGAACTCGGGTTTAGAATAAATTACACACTTTGTCCGTCATGAAGTCGTCATGAACCAACGAAATGACTTCATTTAGTTGTTTGAAAACGAAATTTCATTATTAAGAAGATATTTGTTTATAAGTGTCTCTGAATGAAGTTTTTTTTTTGGCGTTTTTAGCACTAAGTCGTCACAGAAAAACCCCGAAATCTGTCCGCAATCGAATCTCAAAACTTCTGAGGTTGTGATACAAGGGTTTTTGCTACAACTGCCTACAGTCTCACATAAAGTTTTTTACAATTTTAGATGTATTTTCTACAAGGCCAAACGTGTCGTTTGCTTCGTACGGTAATGGGCTAGTTTAGGTCTTTTTAGGCCGTAAAAGACTGCAAAAAATTAAAAGTAATCGTTCTTCTTACCTCCGAGTGTTGTCCAACCTGATGAAACCATCTTTTCATAATTAAAAGACTTGTAAACATTTTTTCCTCCCACTGACAACTTAACAAATATCTTTAAAAAATAAATAGAAGAAATAATTCTCAATTAAGAAAATATGCTAATGCACAGTGCAATCACATAATTAATTCACACCAAAACATTCGCTAAGGATTATGGTCGCCAGAGGGGATGAGATTGACTGCATGATATCAAATAAAATGTAGATGATCAGCTATCATGATAAATGATGTACATCAAATTTCAATACACTATAGTTCTACTTTTGGAAACAATGTTAATAGGTCCAAAATTCAAGTCTTTCTGAGCATCTATCCACAATGTAAACATACTGTGACGTCATTATGCCATAGGGCAATTGTCTCAGCCAAATGACCAAATTACGATCGCGTAAGTTGTAAAAAAAAATCATTCCTTACTTTTCTTATATACCATAATCCACTACTCAGGTGGACTTCAACTGCGGTTATTTTCCCAACGTCTTTGTCATCTATATCAAATATGTTCTTACTGCAAATAAAGACAAGTTATAAAAAGTAAGTATTTTTATGTCATAATGTGTAAAATACCAAAATCAATATTGTGCAGGAAGGCCAGAGCTTATTTTTACAACAAGGTTGTCTGAGAGAACAGCGAATGCACGACCGAAAGTTATTATGGGTATACATTGGCATTAGTTTTATCAAGGTTCCCTGCGCCATCTTGAAAGGTAGCTGTACCTTGTTATCGAAGCAAGACAACCATTGAGCGTGCAATGATAGAAACCTGTGAATAATTTTCAGATGTGTGAAAGAAGGTTTCTATCATTACACGCTCAACTGTCGTCTCGCTTTGATGAAAACACGTGGCTACCTTTAAAGATGACGCAGGTAACCGTGAAGGAGACTATTCAATGAAGATCTTCTGTGATGGCAATAATATGTGATTTTAATGTAATTTGTTTTTAGTAAGTTATACACGAGTTCAGAGAGAGGATTTGTGTTTTATTTATTCCTTATTTTCTAAAAGAATTGTGTTTGCTCAATTTAAATGAACTGAGCCAGTGCTAATCATCTCCAAGGACTAATGGAGAAGGGTCAGCGACTTGTTTGTACCTGTAAGTTTTAAATGCTCCTCCGTTTGGTTTCACAACATGTGATGCTGTCTGACCTTTTTCACCAATTAATCGAAGCTCAACGCGGGAACTGGTGCCACGGTAACCGGTCATAACAAACACTTTGTATTCTATACACAAGATTTTTAAATTTACTCTTAAATATAGCCTAACATAGATCGAAAAAGAGGTTTTTTTACAAAAAGTGCAGTCACTTTCGAAATAAAAAATGCTCTAAAAGAAAAGAAAATTCCCATTGCTGGTATCATTATTTCCTTAAATTGACGCCACACCCAGATGCGGCGTCTATTCGGGGGCGGCGTCTATTCAAACTTTGAGTTTTACCAACAACTACGCTGCTTAAAACAAGAACCTTTTTGGCCAGAGTTTCAAAAAACAAGTTTCTTATTTTCAGGTGTTTACTGTATTTGCAAATCATTTTCTATGAATAAGTAAAATGCCATGGGTTTGAATTTTAGCTTCAGTCAGACGTCCTCATAGCTAAGAAAAAGTGGTTTCAATTTAATTGCAAAATTGTCATGTGACTGGTTACCACAGCAACATCACATCAGCCACAACCTATTTTAATTGATAAAAATGTTCTTTTGTAATTATAGATTAAAATCTCGCGTCCTTCGCGGTAATTATTTTAATAATTTGTTGATTTATATTCTATAKAGATGTAGATAKTCTAGAATGATACCCAGACACAAACAYAATGCAGATTGCATAGWAGTAACACGCCATTGGAAATTTAACCGAAATTTGTATTTCAATTRCTCTTACAGGGCCGTGGTCAAMTGACTTTAAATGCGGTCGTTTATCAATTTGCAATTCTRTTTTTCAGTAGGCGGAAAAGGATCGTACATCGAACAGTCAATTCAAGATTGATTTTGATTGACTAACTTTTTAGTTTATTACGCAACTAAGAAGTTTCCTGTTTCCAACCGATGCTATGGCATTTTCTGACTGTCAGTTTGAACGGCATTGAGAGTAGAGAAGCCCTGGGAACGAGATTGGGCCATGCTTAACCGGCATCCATTTCAAACTTTTGTTTATGTGTTAAAATAAAAACCACACATCGCAATGTAAGCAAAATTTAAATTATACTCTTCATTATCCCTTACTCTTTTATGCTCGACTATGGATGGGGATATTGTAAGATTCGACCTTAAAAGCGACGGATGGAAACGCCGATTGCGAATGGATATTTGAAGTCACCTCATTTTCCATAATGAAAAATCTAAAACACGACACACTGAATCTCGAATGAACATCGTAAGGTACTTGAAATTAAGATTTCGGTTTGAAGGGCGTTGTGATACCGCAATATCTGCAGCTTATCTTTATATAGGCATTCAACAATAATCTTCTTTATACATCTTTATAAAATTTTTGATATATAGCGCGCGCTCTGATTGGCTGACGACCGTGTTTATATCAGAGGACAGAGACACGCCCGTCGTTTTATATTTCTTAACTAAAGAATCTGCAGATATACGTTATTTAGTTAAAAGAACGAACAAATTAAACAATTACCGCGAAAGACGTACGCGAGATTTCAATCTGTAATAACAAAAAGACTTTTAATTAATTAAAATAAGTTATGGCTGGTGTAGCGCTACCGTGGTAACCAGTCACGTGACATTCGTTAATGAAATTGAAACCACGTTTCATGCTCAGCTTTGCCAAAGCAGTTCATTTGAAGCCAACGAAAGTCAAAATTCAAACCCAGGACATCAAAATTACATGAAACTATTTCAAAACACGTTAGGCATGAGGAGAATTTACAAGAGATTCAAAAAATGTTATAGGAATGAGACTAGCTGTTACATAATTGCTAGCTTCAATTCTATTCGCCGACCGCCGTTATCCACAATGGAGAAAACAAGATTCAACTATTCAATGAAGAACATTTCTATTCCGTCAAGAAACTCCTATCTCAAGAAACTTACAGCAAAATCTTGCCTTTTCGATATAATATATATATAGCTTCAATTCTATAATTATTAAGGTATCAGCGTACCCACGCGACCCCTACTCGCGTCATCGACTATAATGTTCTTGTTGTTTTGCAAATGCTAACAAACTATTTTCTGAAAGCTTAGTAATTGTAGTTTATGCCTATAAGTGTTTGAAATGCATTTAAAATTACGTTTTAGTGTTATTAGCTCCATTATCTGAAACTATATGCCTGTACAAAACGAACTCGAAGTCTGAAAGAACTATCGGAAAAAATTCAATTTAAGCGCTGTTCTTTTGTTCACATATTTGTCTCAAAAATTATGCGATTTTTCATACGCGCTCTCGTTTTGATTTAATGTTGTAATAAAGTTTAGTAACGCAAAATTATGTCAAGTTCTTTAAAGAACCTTGAATAACTTTTGAAAAAAGACGACTTATCAAAATCCCAGACACAATTTTGTTGCTCAACTATCAGTAAACAATGCTACGAAATTTGAATAAAATTGGTTTACGGGTATCTGACTTGGAGTTTAAAACGTATGCCCTATTTGCCGTAAACTTTGTTTCGAGAAACGAGTCAAAAACAGTTTTTAGCCCGTAATGGGATTATACCGGGTAATACCAGATTATAAGACCATACCGGAATCTACGTCATGTTAGCATAAAAGATGCGATGACAGCTATGAAACCGATTTAAGTAGTACGGTCAGTTAACTTTCAAAAACATCAACTTGTAACTCGTAAGATTTTACTAAATATACAGTTTTTTGTAGCAAATTTGGGTTAGGCCGAAGATAATATTCGATAATGTCCAGGAATGCTAAAGGCCAAGAAGATTAGCGATAGCAAAGGATATGCTAATTGTAAAAATATATATTCCTATTTTCGCAAATTTTGACCGTTTCAAATCAAAACGTGTAAAATCATAATAAACTAATACAAGAGAAAGAAATGATTGAGTGATCCAGAGAAATGAGAGAGAAAAAGAAGCAGAATATGATTAATCGAGAATCAACAACATGAGGCTGATCAACTCTGGATCCCGGGACGGACATTAATACTTAATCCGGTCCATATGAAAACTACCAGTGAGCATATTTATCGAATATATTGCTTATTGGAGTCCTTCAAATAGACATATTCTTTTGTATCTTACGGCATGCTTCAATCGACTCTCATTCTACGGTTGTATATAAAACTCGTTTGATGTGAGCTGTTATCAACGCCATTAATCCATCCAACTATAAGACTAATCTTTTGAGCGCAATAACTCTTGTTGTAAATTTCGTATCTTTTCAAAACTTTACTATATACCTAGATCTACAAACGATCTTTCCAATGATATAAAAATCAAAAAATCATTAAAATGTGACGGTTTTGTGTACGCTGATACCTTAAAGAGTGATTTTGGAATTGCGATAAATATCGCAATATCCGTTCGAAATTTTGAACTGCATCATCTTATCTTATAATATTATACTTTTGTGCATTTGAACTTGAAAATTAAATTCCCTTATAAATGCAAAATAACATATACAATTTCTCGCGATATTAGTTAGCTTTCGAGCAGTACAAACTTGTTCAATTTTTTAGAAAATCTAATGACACTTATTTAATTTGTTTAAACGCCAAACATGTAAATAAACCATAAAAGACCTAAAATAATCAATAGTTACATACTTTTACAAAGCCCGAATGCAAAGCAACCAAACAAGAAGAGTAGAAATGCTGTTTTTGCTGCGTTCATAGTTGAAAATCTTCTGTTTCCAAACTCCTAAGCTCACCACTGAATCTCAGAGCTCGTTATGATTGAATCCATTGTTAGGCGTTGTATTATATTACAAACGTGGGACAGTAATATGTGACGTGGCATGGACACGCTGCCCGTTGTATTCATAGCTGTTTTGATCCAAATGACGTTAATTAATTTTTACTTCAATTAAACCAATACAAATTAGACTTCCTTGTGCGCTAAAGATCTTTATCGCGGGACTATTCACATTGATGTGTTAATTTTGTATTGTTTAAGATTTTTTAATCCATCCTTATATTCTGTTGTCTGAGATGTTTAATCGTTTTTTTCGTTCCCTTGAGGACGGAGGACAGAATCATAACAAAATCGCCTCGAACTTGCACCGATGTGGACTGATGAGGCCAAAGTTCTGTGCATTCTTGGCGTGCGAGCTAGATATTCCCTTCGATGTGGGACGAAGTTCATTTCTCTTGTTCATTCGCACAGCAAGGTGGCAATTGTTGGTTGCATGTTACGTCACAGCGACCATCTTGGAGGAAATTTAACAAAGGACTTCTCATTAGTATCTATTGTTCATTCCTCCAACATGGCCGCCGGTCTTTTATCTTTTGAATCTCATGGGAATGCAGGGTGAAAATGATCAATAGCCTTGTTTTAAATTCTCTGGTGGATTCTTGGTAACGTGGCTGCAACCAAAAAAATATGATCAAAAATAATCAGTTGCAAAAGGTTGTTAAACCTTAAAAGGTTCCTGTGAATCTTCACGAAGTACCTTCATTAAAAAAAATATCATTTTGAAGCTTGTATATATAAGAGGAGCCGATCGACGGGTTCCTGGGAGAAATGTATCTGTTCCTGTGTCCCAGACAGCTGTAAGTCACAACTGGTTGTCAGCGAGAAATTCAGGAAATACAAGAAATACTTTCTAAGAATTTTTCCCAGAAAACTAAAGATTTCCTAGCTGAAAAATGTAAGCAGTATCAGTATAAAACGTTTTTTAAAAGCCTTTTTGACAATAAAAACGTTTGACAGGAACAAAATATTTGAAAGAAGGAAGGGCGCTACATTTGCGTGTGAGATTGTCAACATGCAGCTCAAAATCCCTTTCCCGTGAAAAAATCCGTACAAGTACAGTTATTTAGAAGAACAGACCCCGTCGCCTCCTCCTGATATTACGATTTTTAAATAATGCAATTAAAAAGAGTATCACTCGTTTTCACACAAAACGGTCAGTTTTTTTTAATATTCAAGATGTCAAAAGTTTGTGGATTTAACAAAACAATTTTTACAACAAKACAATCTGCAAATATCAACCTCAAAAAGCATGCCATATTGAATTATGCCTTAGATTTCGAGTTATATTCTATTTATCGTCTAAACACATCGTTTACAGAAATTTCAACTCTGAAGAGTATATATAGAAATCTCCTGCAGGGAGACTGGGGAGACACCAAGCGTGTACACGTGTCGACGCTAGCTGTATCCTAATAAAAAATATTTGCGGATACTTCTGGGCTCGTGTGGACGTCCGCGTCATCTCATCGACAGACACGTTTCACCAGTCTTGCTATTAGAACGTTTTCAAAATAATTGTTTTGCTAATTTTTATTGTTATTCTTCCCTTTCAGAGAGTTTTTGACCAAATTAAATATTTTTTTAAAGTTTTTTTTATGAAATTCTTTCTTGAGCAAATATTTCACCAGAGTGAGTTTTGATAGCAGATTTCTGATTGTTTCAATTTCTGTCCATAATCGTTCGCCCGCGTGCTGGAAAAAATCGCGCGCTTAAAGGTTGTAAATTTGATGTAAACATGATGTAAATGTCCAAAATTCTGTAAATTTAATGGAAATCGTTTACATCAAATTTACAGAATTTTGGACAATTACATCATATTTACATCAAATGTACAACCTTTAAAGCGCGCGATCTGATTTTTTCCAGCATGGTGAGCAGTCGTTATGTTCCGATTGATGCCTTTTCTTTGAAGAGTGTACGTGGCCACAATTCAGGATATTTTACAAACCCTGAGTCAGCCACCAATACCTCGGAAAAACCGTGTGATTTTCACAACTGCTTATCCTCTATAGCCGAAAATTGAAAGCCGAAATTGTCTTCAGGTGCTTTGCCCTCTAAATCGCGTCCCTTTGTGTTAAAGCCAAGCGTATGAAAAAGTCCTTTAATTGACCTCTTTTTGCTACCTTTTCTGGATAAAATATTTYTTCAGTTTAGTAAYAAAACTGTGCAATTGTATAGTGTACTGCGAAGATTTTTAAAAATTRTTTTGCTTCAAGAAAGAATGAAGAAGACATATTTTGACAAAACGAGGAAGTCGAAATTTGGGATTTCGACGTGAAACATTTTAAAAACAAAAACGGGCATCTGCATCATTATTATCTTAATGAAGCCAGCAACGGAATAATTGAATAAAATAAACAAGAACCACTTGGTGGAACATATATTGTTCAGGTTACGCTAATATATACTTTTACCAGCGCCGCGATCGATTTGATAGATTTTGCGTATATTAATCTTTTCACATCATTTTTTGAATATTTTTTTCATTGCATCGAAAATTTAGCATTCAGATTGCATTCGCATTATCTTCAGATAATTTACAAGATGAAAGTTGCTTTGCATAAAATGATTTTAGAAAAAGAACGAGTATATTATAAAGTTAAAGAAAGAAAGAAAAAATGTGCAGAAGCAGAGAATCGAACCCGAGATCGTCAGTTCAACGCCGCTATTCAAGTATGATCTTGCGTGTAAAGTATGTAAAACAAATATTTACAGAAAAATAACAATAATTATACTTTCAGTAAATCAAGCAGCCAATGGCAGCATAACTCGGAGATTGATATATACAGAACGATGTACGATGAATCAAATTATAATTACTTTAACAATTACAATTTTAAGTAAACGATTTATGAAATTTTTTTCGTTACAATCTTACTACCTAATACTTCGGCTGTGTTGATAAGCACGGCGAGTGACGGCGAAATAAATCCCAGTCTTAGCCACTCTTATTTAAAGTATGACATCGTGGCCTAGTGGTTAAAACACAGGCTTACTTATCAAGAGATCACGGTTCGAATCCCAAATGATATCGTATGTTTTTTTTTCTTTTTTTTGTTCTTTATTATTATTTTTTATTATTATTTATTATTTTTTTCCAGCAATTCTTTTAAGAATGCTTACTCCGTAACGGTGAATTAAACAACGAAAGTTGGTTCAATTGAATCCCCGACCAACTATACGCACCGTTGCTTTTATTGTTTGCCAGTTTCCGTAGCGGCTCAAAATAGTATTATCGATGTCTAACCACACAATGAACTATGTATCAAATATTACAATGTAATATTACGGTAGCGAGCGAATATATTTTTTGAATTGTAGACGAACGTGGATAAATAAAACACACGTAAAATGATTTTCGAGACGAATTTAATGTCGGATCGGCGAGTCTTCCTCATACTTCCTTTGTGAATGAACAATACAACGAATCAAATTAGAATTTACTTTAAAAATAGAATTTTATGTAAACGACATTTGAATGCAGATTTTTTCGTTAAAATCTTATAGTTTGAACTTCRAATTCTAGACAAGCACGGGCGAGCGCCCATCAGTTAAAAGACAAGTCTACCCGATGTCATGTAACATTAGCACGCGTGGCCTAATCGGTAACAAGGGGCCGTTTTGCATGAGCATGCGCGCAACCGCTGCGTTATAACGACCATGGGCTCTAGAATACGGGTAGAATAACATTGTAGTAGCTGCGGAAGCTTCGATTCTGAACATAAATGATGTTTTTACTTATCTTCCACATTTTTCCAAACAAAACCAAGTAGATATATTTACAATGCACACGAATATCTTTCAAACTTTATATAAATTACTGTGAGTCCCGGGCTAGATTTATAACACGAAGCCACTTTGTACCGTTAAAATGTAGTGAATTATTTGGGCACACCTTTAGCAATAATAAATTCCTAAGATGTGAATCGATTGCACTGCAATAGTTTATTTCATAACTTATAATGATACAGCTATANGACCTTGGTCGGATAAATTACGTTTAATAAATAAGCTGGTATTCATATTTTTAGGTTAAACTAGTAGCTTGTTTATCGTGTACTTGTATGTAACGAATTTATAAAGAGACTCATTATGAACAATCGTTGAACTGAAAGAAATCTCGATTCTCAAGCGCAAATCGACATATTCTTGTAGTACTTTTCTTAACCCTATTCTTGCCAAATTTTTGATGGGAGTCTTCCAGTCATGCCAAGTTTTGCATTCGGGAGGAAAAACACGGGTCCACATTTTCGGTACAAAATCATCGTTATTTTGATCATCAAAGCTCAATTCTTCCTCTGAATACTCAGAATTATCGCTAAAATATCGCTGCTTTCATCGCCGTTTCTTTAATTTGGATCAGACATCTAAAAACTACATATTTTCAACTAATTAGACAACAAGAATCATGCGAAAATCCTCCATATTTATTAGAAAATCCGCRCGATTTGCTCGAAAACTCACCACAAAACGATCGATGTTTTCACTTCGGTTTGACTTCAAAAATACGATRCCTCGATTCCATGATGCTTTGTTAATATAAACAAAGCTTTTGATTCGTCGAGAGAACAAAAGAACATGGTTTTTGACCAATCAAAAGCGATGGCTCAAGTGTGCCGATCTAATAATAAAGATGCAGTTAAGCTTATTACGTTTTTGATTTTTCACTTCCAGTTTCAAGTTTCAAGTTGCTTTGTTTATCTGAGGCTGAGCATCTTATTAGTAAATCAAACTTAAGCCGATGTGAAACTTATATACTATCCATTGCAATGCAATATAACAATAATACACGTGTCGACGCTTGCTGTATCCAAATAAAATATATTTGACATGAGTATGCATCTGAAATCAAACTAGACGATCGTAGATCGCGTATGTAGATCGTAGACTCGCTTCCTATGACTGCGACAATGGTCAGCTGCCGCCATTAAGATATGAGTATTTCATTTTCACGATAGAGTCTTTGTTTGAAA